CCCCGCCAAGACAATGGTAGGGGAAACACTGAATGTTATATTGTATCTACTTTGTGCTTTTCCTCCAGCACCCATCGCCCCAAAGAGAGAAAGAGAAGAGAATGATGGGCCCGCAGCAAAGGTCCCCAAAACTGAAAACGGATCTTAGTCACAACATTGCACCAGGATTCTTTTTTTTTTTGTGAAACATTTATTATAAACAGTGAAAATGCAGAGGCAACTTAAATCCATTCCAGTGAGAGCTTCAGTCTGTGGAGAATCGTAGGAAGTCCACCTGGATGTCGACCTAGAAAACAAATAGCAAAGCTTGGCGTCAGTTTTCAGCCTTTTTAAGTCTTTGTTTTTTTGTGCCTCTATCATTATTTGTGTCCCTATATTTCTCCACTTAAGACGTTTTTTAATTTTATCAAACATGATTTACAACTAAACATTTGTTAGGTTTTGTGCAGTTAATTTTTCCCTTGCAGATTTCCTGCAATGAGTGGTAACTTTTGCGTTGCTATTTTAAGTTTGCATATGTGAATAGCAAATAAAACCTTTATAAAATGAATCATCTGTGTGAATGTTTTTTTATAACAGCATGAGACGGGTTATAAGCTTACCGATTTCTTTTTGTGGAACTTGTAAGATGCTGGCAAGTCATATCTTAGTTCTGTAAAGAGAATGTAGAGTTTGAATATTTGATATTGAATATATACGTTGTAAATGCACTGTATTGTTCTTACCTGCTACTACTTCCATCTTCACTCCCCAGTCATTAGCCTTCTTTTGTATGTGCTGTAATCAGATAAGGAATTGCAAACAGTTCAGTCTCCGTGCCTTTTCCTTTAGTTTTCATTGAAAGAACAATTACAGAATGTATTAAAAAATCCTTGTTCTTTGGAGTCTGTCTGAAATACTGTCATTCTGCCCGTGACTTGGACTTGCCCTCAAGGACTAGAGACGCAACTTGGACTTGGCCTGAAAGCTCTATGTGATACAAGAGTGCCTTTTTAATGTGACTGATATGAGAAATGAACTTACCTCTCGTGTTGAGGTTTTATGGAGGGAATACACTGCTGTCTTTGCCATTGTTAAAGCTGCCTTTAAGAACTTCATGTCCATGCCTAGAATAATAAAATAGAAACATGTAAATTGTTAGGGCTACAATAACTCATGAAGATTTGTATAAATGCCATAAGGAGACTTGCCCATCCTATAAAACCTGAAATGTGTTTAGTCATATTGAGAGTAACAATGATTACAGTTTCCAAATTATAAATACTGTTCATGTCAAAACCCAAGTTATATGGTAATAAGGAAGAAAGGCAGAATGTATTCTAGTTGAAGTAGAATCAGATGCCATTTGTCTTGCATTATGGTTTTGTAGGAACAAAAATTGCTTTACTTTGACCCAAACGAAGTCCCCTAACGTCATAGAAGCACAAAGTCACCAGAGTTCTCCCTTAAACTGTGCACTCACCTTGGTTGTGTTTGGTCCCAAATGGAGGATTCATTATTACAGTATCAAACTTTTTTGCATAGGCCTCTGCCTCAAGGGAACACAGGTCACACTGGATCAGATCCAGGTTAGAAATCTCAAATTCCTCTGCATTCCTTTTGAATATGTCTAGTGCGTCGTCATCAATATCGAAGCCAATACACAAACTGAATAAGAGAGGGAGAATAGAAGGATCAACAGTTTATATCCTTTACTTAAGTAAAAGCACTAAATACCACAATATATATACGTAAAAGTATGTAAGTGGTAACATCAAAATGTACTTAAAAGTCTGAAAACTAAAAGTATTGATAGTGCAGTCAATTGTTTGTTGTCAGTGTTTAAGTATTGTTTGTTTTGGGATTAATATAGCTGCTGCATTAATGTGTATTAAAACGTTTATTTAACGTAGAATTTAATTTTTATTTAATTTAATAGTATTTAACGCATTTTACGCAGAATAACTTTCACATAAAAGAAAACCTGTATCTTTCAGTTTATTCGAGAGAAAAAAATGAAGTTCACCAAATTTGGAGGTAATTGGATCGCTAAACATGTAATCTTAAAAGTAAGAATGGCAGACAAATGCATTGAATAATCATATTACCTCATGTATAGCAGTTAAGTTTCATAAAATGGAAATAGTAAAGAAAAAACATCACATTTGTACTTAAGCACAGTACTTGAGCAAATGTATATTCCATTACTGATGTGGAAAGACGCTGATGGAAAAGTACAGCTGTTATCCAAATGTTGTTGACACAGTTAGTTAGTTATATGAGGATGGTCAGATGCTCTCACCCTGCATCAAGCACCGCAGCCCCGATGCTGAGGACTCCACAGCCACATCCCAGATCTGCCACTAGCTTCCCCTCAATGTCATCAAACGTGTTGTGTATTGTATAAAGCATGCATGCTGTGTGGAGAAAACAATAGACAGTTAATGACAACATTGTGCGCTATTAAGAAACGATGATAACATGTTGTCATCTCACCAGCAATATGAGGACTGGTTGGATATTGCTCAAGAAGGATTTTCGGCTCTTCAAACGTGTCCACCTGCTGTAAACAGCTCTCTAACTCTTTGAGTTTCATACTGGAGACTGTGATGTACTAAACTTGCGTGACAACACAGACAAGTTGTTTCAAAAGGTTATTTTTCAGCTAGAATCGCAGTGAGTGTATTTTAAGCATGGTCAAATGCGACTTCCGGGATGGTGTGTGCATCAACCAAAACAATCCGACTACCGGAACGCGTGATAGTAGTTCCTCCATGCATTTTTTGCATCTTTTATGAAACGTAGTTGTTTTATTAAAGGTTAAAGCACTTTATTAAAGTAAAGTAAACAGACACTTTAAAATATGAATTAGTTCATTCAAATTGAATATGTATGATTACATGATCTCTAGAAGAATACAATAATTATTTGTTATGAATAATCATCATAACAAAGTATATAAATATGATAAATACAAATCCACCATTTACAAAGTCAAGTTCTTACAGCTCACTTTTTAACATTTTTAGAGAGAATTTTCAATATTTTCCTGCACCTCAGTTGTGATATCTACAACTAGTACGACAATTATGTTTTGTGAAGGGGAAACAAAAGCTGTTTCAAGTAACTGAAAACACCATTCTAAAAATATAAAAAATAAAGTGGAAAATAATGTAATTGTTACAACATGAGGGTAACAACGAGAGATTATTTGTTAATAATTTGAACTACACAGTTATGCTAAGGCCCTCTCCACTCCCCATTGCCTTGCATGGGTGCACTAAGAGATCATGCTTTATATGTATCAGAGGGAGTGGCAGGGCATCAGTTAGATAGAAACAAGAATACAAAACAGCATGTATGACTGTGCATGAATGGAGCTGGTTAAACAAGACAGACTGTGCTAGATCAAATACTTATACAAGGCTTAATTATATCAAGTGCAGTCATTGCTCTTTTATAAACGTACATTTAGGTAAAACATCACTTCCATTTATTTAATAAATAAATGTAACTATATATTGTGATTATTCGGAACATTAAAACTGTGAGACAATGAACGCATAACTGTGCTCCCGATATCATTTCTTCACTTACCCCCTTTTTGTGTTACTTTATTTAATATAATATTATTTTAAAGTTTTATTTCCACTAAATTTGCTATTATATATTTACGTCAATGTCTGTTTAATCTGACACATTACTGTTTATTTATTTGTAGTGTTAACTGATTTGGGAATAAAAAAACGCCCGCTAAAGACAACGAGACTAGACGTATCGCGAGAAAGCCCGAGAACATGGAAGCAAGACAACAAAAATAAATTTGTGTACAACAAGCCAGAGTGCATGATGGCGGCGTCGCTGCTGCGCCGGGACAAGAAAGCTACTGCCGCCCACTTGAAGGTAGACTTAAGTCGGACTGACAATAGCTCCGGGGTGCGACAACTTCAGGAGTTGCTCGACGTTGTGCTAAATCCGGAGACACCAGCGGCGGACACAGAGGCTCTGGACTGGTGTAAATGTCTGATTGCAGGAGGCGAAGGTTTCGAGGAGTTCTGCAAAACGGTCCGGTCCTATGACAACGCTACTCTGTGCGGACTGGTTTGGACGGCCAATTTCGTGGCATATCGATGCCGTACCTGTGGTATCTCCCCGTGCATGTCACTGTGTGCTGAGTGTTTCAATAATGGAGACCACACGGGCCATGATTTCAACATGTTCAGGAGCCAGGCTGGTGGGGCCTGTGACTGTGGAGACAGTAATGTCATGCGAGAGACTGGGTAAGTCCAAGCTAGCGGCTAGCTAAGCTGGCTAAGCTAACCAACGGCCAGTCCTGTTTTGACAGGTCTGAGTAAGATGTGACCTATCACAGCTAATACCTTTTCCTGATATATTTAGTCCCTTTTACTTTTTAGTTCAGTCTGTAAGAGATATGCTTACTGCCAGTCAGCTATAGTTTAGAATAAGAGGATGCTCCTCACATTAAATTATAGGAAACCCTCGACTAAGCTGCTCTGAGCGTTAGCCAGCTGGCACCAGCAGCTGTACGTGGAGGTTTCTACATATTGCCGATATATAACAGCTTAGATAAGGTCTGGGACTTGGGTCATTGTGATACATGTGTCCTCTTTTACTACTGTTACAGACAGAATCAGCCACAACCCTTTATTAATAGAAAGTACAAAAATAGAAGACTAAAACAAATATATAAAATAGGAGGCAAATGCTTGTAAAATAAGAGGAGAAACTAAACAAGATGGAATTATACAAGAGCAATTAATAACATGTTATACAAAGAGACCCTGTGTGGTCCAATTACTAGTAGTTGCAATGCAATATTAGTAATAATGTAATGCATTATAACAGAATATCAAATGTAATAGGATGTACATACTATATACCATGCTTACGCATAATAGTAATATGTAATACAATCTAATATTGTATAATACAATCTTATAAAATAAAAGGAATGATAGTAATACTTTATTATATTAGTAACATTATTTCTGATGTTATGGTGTGAAATAAAATGTTGTCAGCATCAAGCAGCTGACTGATTAGCCCAACACTCTTGAGCAATACATGTTGTAGTTTTGGTGTTGCTACAGATCTCATTGTGGATTATCAGGGATAAACAACAGCCAGAACTCCCATATTCTTACTCTTGATTGCTCATCAAACCCCAACCATCTTTACATCTGAACCCAATGAAATTCAACTATGAACCTTGCTGTAATCACAAATCTATAACATGAAACAATAACTACAAATGTAATTCTGGATGAATTCCAATACCTTACTATTTACAATACATGATTCAAAGTATATAAAATGCAGTATGACCAAAATACCAGCATTTCATGCTGCATACAGTTGGATTTTTGAAGCATGGAAGCCAGCAGGCTTTTCTGGTTATTCTGACCCACAATCCTTTGTTCAGCAGACAAATGAGCAAGAGAGTACTATGCACTTGGTAAAGGCAGGGATTTTGAAAGCAGCTTATATTTAAACCCAACCTTCAGGTTAGGGCAAGACCTTTGTAGAGTCACTGCTTCTGGTGTCACCTGTTAGAAGGATTCAAGACTTCAAACTGTTAAAAATCCCCATTTGTTTTTTTGCTGACAGGTTCTGCAGACGGCATCGGTTGAGAACGGGGGAGAATGTCCCCTCAATACCTCGAGACCTTCTCTTGATGTCTGAGATGGTTCTTCCTCGCTTTATCCTGTGTATCATCCAGTATCTGAGAGATGGGTACATTGAATCAGGTGAAAACACAATCTTCTCTTTACAGCCATGTGATAATATTAAATACTCTGAGCCATTTATCATCTTTAACAAAAGCTGTAACTTTGAGACATTTCTCTTAAACGTTTTGGTGTCTTGTAGTATCCTATCTTCTATCATTCAATTTGATATGGTATACAATCTGTGGATATCGTGTTGCATATGAAGTGCAAACAGGATCTGCTGGGCAAGCAAGATAATTGTTTGCATCCAAAATGATGTTCGCAATATACCGCATCTGATGACTTATATGTTATCTTGCTCTGCCAGACACCTCAACTGAGAGAGATCTACAGAAAGTCCTGCAGCATCTGGAGCCCCAGATCTCCTTCCTGGAGGAGCTCACCAAGATGGGAGGCGCAATGAGGACTGTACTGACAAAGATCCTGACCAATCAGCAAACATTCAAGGAGTTGAGCATGGGTAAATATCCGTACTAGAAAGCTTGATAATCATGAAGCATTAAAATACCAAATACTTTTAGTGGTATTTTTTGGGTTGTAAGCAATATATATTAAAAGTACATGTCTTTTTTATTCAATTAATTGTTGCAATTTCTGCTTTGCTTCACGGTTGCAGGCAAGGAGGAGAATTTGTTTGCTAACAAGAACTATGACAAGTATTTGTCAGCCTTGAAGAATTCCGGTTTGGTGTCTGTAGAGGAGAAAGCCCAAGGTGCTAATGCTGATGTCGCTGTAGGTGCTGAAGGGGGTGCAGGGGCTATGGTCCTATTGGGTAAGATAACCATAACAGAAGTTTTTACACTTTCTACACACATGTACTTGAACCGCCTGTATTTTAGTTATTCAATTCAATATTTGTGTAAGATCTAATTTAGGGTTAAGATAACCAAACAGTTTATTGCCAAACAGCTTAGACCTCAGCTCTTATTTCTAGACAAATTAAACTTTGCTTACATGATTTAGAAGATCCTCAAATCTTTCTGAAGTGAATTACATCTTATTTAAACTCATGTTGAATATTGCTGTTTGAACAAATTGTCAGTCTTGCAGACTGTAATATCTCGGGTAGCTGCTTTGTTATGTCAAGGGGCTTAAGATGCTGATCATGGCTGCCTGTGGCTAAATGTTTGTATTGCTTTTCTTAGGAAACGCCGCACCAGCGAGCCCAGATGAGTCTAATAAAGAGGTATGTGCCAGCATCCCAGATAGAATAAATCATAACTTATTTGAACCATTCCTAATTAAAATCTTAATAATTACCAAAATGGTAGTCCTTTTTCAATTCAATTTGATATCAACTGATCTACAGTTATTATTGAATGACTTACTAACCTCATTTTGTTATCTCTCAGGAGGACCAAGATGCAGGGCAGTCTGTTGGACAGAGGAAGAGGGTAAAGCTGAGCAGCAGTACCAAAGGTAAATGTAAAGGAAATGTAATGCTCGAGTGTAGAGTATGTTGTGTTAAACAGCCATCTTATTATGTGCCTTTTTCTGCCCACAGACCCGTGTATTATTGAATCTCTGAAGCATAAATGCTTTCTGGAGGAGTTGCTGTTCTGGACAATCAAATATGAGTTTCCTCAGAAGATGGTCACCTTCCTACTGAACATGCTGCCAGATCAAGATTACAAGGTATGCTTCTCTTATATGTTTTTTCAATTATTTGCTAAAATGCTAGTCTGTCATCACTTTAAGATGCATGTCTGTATTTTAGTTATAATATAATTCCTGATCATGCATGGCGTAGACTCTCGGGTAACTGAAATGATGCTTTAAATGAATAAAATCCTCCTTAAAAACGACTGCTTCATCGTAAGCCATAACTGTGTTATGGGCTTTTCTCCTCCTCTCTGGTAGATCACTTTTACAAAAACATTTGTTCAGCATTATGCATTCATCATGAAAACACTGATGAAAAGCCACGAGTCGGACACCATGTCCAACCGCATTGTACATATTAGTGTGCAGCTGTTTAGCAACGAGGAGCTGGCTCGACACGTGA